TAATTTCTAAAGCTGCTGTAATAACCAAGAAGCTAAATTTTACTGCTATTCAAAATCGTCAACAATAGATTTTTTACGGCTGTAATAGTTGATATATTTGTAGAGAATTGCATGTGCCATGGCTATTTATCGACTCAAAGAGAGTGTGGGGTAGTCAGAAATCAGTTCGAGACACGCAACTGAAGCGTGCACATTTAGCTGTGTCGAGACCAACTTTTTGTAGAGTGCGATCAGCGCAGAAAGTAAACTATTCGCGCGTAGCCAATCAGAGAGCACGTAGCTAAAGCTCAAAGCGTAAATCAAGCATGACCGACATTTAACAGGTAAATATTGAAAATTTATGTATTATGGTAAACAAACAAATCTCAAATGGACAAAACACGAAAGCAGCGAGCGAGTGTTTTCAATATATTACAAGTAGTTTTGAAGCATGTCGTTTGCAAGTTTTATGATAAAGGGATTTTCAAAAAATGAAAACTCCACCACTAGTAAATGTGTAACTATCCGCCCTACATTTCAATGTAACCAGCCTCTTGACTAACTTTCCGCACCAAACTCATGAATATTCAACAAAACGCCATGTAAAGAGATATTCTTTTGTGACCTGTTTCCAAAACTAATGTTCAGAAGGAGATCACTTTGAGCCTGCCTCCAACAGGCCAAGAAAATACATTCGTCCTATGATGTATGACGTCAGAATGCACCAATAAATATTATGTCAACCCAGTCAAAATCCTATGGATGTATGCTGTCAAACCACTCAAAATGCTATCTATAAAGACTATAGCATTTCCCCTATGGATATATGACGTCAACTCAATAAGAATTCTCAAGACTATAGTATTTTTTTAGTGGGCGATATTACACTACAACCACTACTCTAATATTCTAATAGATGGTAGATTTGAATTATTTGATAATCTATAGACAGGTATTTAGTTACTGGGGACATCAACTCAATGTATTTAGTCGAAGTCTGAAAGAGAATTTTCGCGGTGGTTAATTAATAATAATAATGAATTTGTACAGCACCTCTTATCTAGAACAGTTCTACTGGATTGTGGTATTCATAATTAAATAAGTGAGTCTTCATGGATTATTTAAAGTACTATGATGTTGTGCCTTTCTTTAATGTTGTTGGGAGTTAATTCCATTACATGGGTGCTTCAACTGCAAAAGCCCTATCACCAGAAGACGCTGTTAAAGTTTTTGGAATGAGAAGGTCGTGTTTTTATATTGACTAAGTTGATCCCTTTCTCCAATTTTGATCTGCAGATCACTGATGTAGTCAGGAGCTAATTCATGGATGCTCTTGTAATTGTATATTGTTTACGCATGCGGGTATATAAATACCACTGACGAATGAATGTGACTATTAACACCCACCTTTTCCTTTCTTCAGGAGTCCTGGAGGGTCTGTGGGTGGCTATAACTAACCAGGAGGTCCGAGGTTCGATCCCGACGTTGGTTGACAAAGTTCCCCAGGATTTTCCTGCATGGATTCCCCTGGGCAGTGGTGCAGGACGGAGGACATGGCAAGGAAAGGCGTCTAGTTGTTTGAGATGTATGGCACGTGAATGTCTTTATTAGATCAGTCAGTGAGGAAAACTAGCGGGGTTGGTATGGCCTAGTGGTCTAGAGTGTCGCCCTTCGAGCTCCAGTTTGCCAGTCACCCCTGGCTTGCGGTCATGATTTCGATCCCTGGTGTGATCTTATGTGGTTTGGTTTTGGCGCTAAGCATAATAAGAAAATAAGACACATTGTCTGCGATATCACCATTGGTGGAAGCGGACTTTAAACATTAACAGAAAATTAGCTTTAAACCTTTATTTCACCTTAATTCATCTGTAATCCTATTAAATTATTCATATACCAAGGTAGGCATTATAGTCACCAGGGGAGAAGTTATCAATTTTCTGTTCATTGTGCAACAATCTGGGTTCTATTTTGATGATTGATTACCTTCTTGTATTTCGATATCCTTAGAAAATAAATTTTCTGCCTCTTCCACAACCATGGTTAAATGAATAAAACATAATTTAACCGGATGTGCTAATTGCTATGTGATACCGTTTATTATTGGTATTCTATATATAGTGAATGGAAATCTCGAATTTCATCCCGTGATAATAAACCTATTATATCCGAAGTGTATCATGTTTCTTTACATAGCTGTTCTATGGAGTGGGGTGTGGTGGGGCTCACAAAATGGATATTTACTTTAATGAACCATAAAAAAATTCACGCTCAGTAAAACCCCTTTCAGATATCCAACCCACAGTAAACCCCTCTCAGATACCCATCCCACAGTAAAACCCATCTCAGATACACAACCCACAGTAAAACCCATCTCAGATACTCAACCCACAGTAAAACTCCTCTCAGATACTCCACCCAAGGTACAACTCTTCTCAGACACCACAGCAAAACTTCTCTCAGATACTCCACCCACAGTTAAATTTCTCTCAGATACTCCACCCACAGTTAAACTCCTCTCAGATACTCCACCCACAATAAAACTCCTGTCACATGCTCCACCCACAGTAAAATTCCTGTCAGATACTCCACCCACAGAAAAACTCCACCCACAGTAAAACTCCTCCCAGATACCCACAGTAAAAAAAAACCTCTTAGATACTCCACCCACAGTAAAACTCCTCTCAGATACCCCACCCTCAGTTAAACTCCTCTCAGACATCCCGCCCACAGTAAAACTCTTCTCAGACACGTACAGTAAAACGTCTCTTATATACTCCACCAACAGTAAAACCCCTCTCAGATACTCCACCAACAGTTAAATTCCTCCCAGATACTCCACCCCCACAGTTAAATTCCTCTTAGATACTCAACCTACAGTTAAACTCCTCTCAGATACTCAACCCACAGTAAATCTCCTCTCAGACACTCCGCCCACAGTGAAACTCCTCTCAAACACCCACAGTAAAACTTATCTCAGATACTCCACCAACAGTTAAATTCCTCCCAGATACTCCACCCCCACAGTTAAACTCCTCTCAGATACTCAACCCACAGTAAATCTCCTCTCAGACACTCCGCCCACAGTGAAACTCCTCTCAAACACCCACAGTAAAACTTATCTCAGATACTCCACCAACAGTTAAATTCCTCCCAGATACTCCACCCCCACAGTTAAACTCCTCTCAGATACTCAACCCACAGTAAATCTCCTCTCAGACACTCCGCCCACAGTGAAACTCCTCTCAAACACCCACAGTAAAACTTATCTCAGATCCTCCACCCACAGTTAAGGAGTAGGATAGTATGTCCAACCTCGTGAGTTTTCGCGGGATCCCCTGGTTTCCTCCTAATGTTAAAGCGAATTATTGATATAAAATTGAACCATATGTTAGTCCCGAAATGACCTAGTATTTTTCGAGTGGAAATGTTAAACTCTCTCTCTCTCTCTCTCTCTCTCTCTCTCTCTCTCTCTTATTACATTAACTGTTTATTAATTCATAACATTTCGACTAGAATTCTCTAGGCTTTTACGAGCGTGTGATACAATTACACAAGACAGTCTTTGATCAAGCGTGGCTCGGTATTAAACAATAATTATATTCAATAGACAAGTTGTCTTTACAATTCAATTACTATATTGCAATTAAAGCTATTTGTTTCAGAATGTAACATAATCTAATATTCATGGTTTTTTCTAGTTGGTGCTTTAAAATGTTGCCCCTTTATTATATGCCCACATTTCAGGGTGGGCGTATTATGTCGACACCCTGTCCGTCGTTACGTCGGCCCGTCAACAACTGGTTATTGAACGCGATGGAGTCAACAGCTCTTGACGAATTTTTCTTTCAAATTTGGTGTTAAGCATTGTGGTCATGAAAGAACATTGTGAATCTTATAGATGCTTTAGTTTTAACGAATGTTTTTCGAATTTGGTTTGAAGCATTTGAGCCATGACGTGATGATCCGTATCGATATTCAACATTTCGAAACTTTCAGGGTTCTGTGGCTTTCCCTTGTGGAGATAGAAGCTACAGTTTTTAACGATTTTTTTTTATCAAATTTGGTAGGCAGCATTGGTTTCATGAGAGGATGAACCCTGGCAATATTCAACTTTTTCATCTTTCCTTTCCGGAGTGATCCCCTCCTTGCCCAAAAACTTGTGATGCTTTAGTTTCAACAAATATCTTTCAAATATTAGCTGGGAAGCATCGGGAGAATGAACCATATCGATATTAAGTGGCCTGCGACTTTTCGTTCAGAGCTATATCCCCTTTGCCAAAATCCTTGTGAAAGCGATAGAGGCTATAGTTTTTAACGGATTTCTTTCAAGGTTTGGTGGGAAGCGCTGGGGTCATGGGATATTGAATAATGAACCCTATCGATGGAGGGTTAACTCTGCAATGGAGAAAAAACTGCTGTGTTCGCATATTTATTGATGCAGTTCCTTTTCATGGCCTATTGACTTTCATAATTCAGGTAACTCTACCGGAATCTCTTTGTACATGATACCGCATTAGAACAATCCCTTGGTTGTCTCTGATTGCATAAATATTATATAAGGTGCTGAAAAGATTCAACTGAGTGTTTCCTCCACAATAGGATATATCAGGATAGTTTTCACGACTTTTACACATTCACAGTTCGTTTTCAAGTAGGCAATGTTAGTGTCTTTAAATTTAACTCAGTGTGAATTTAATATTTACAGTGAGACATAAACATTTAAGAAGTGTAAAACTCTTAGCAGCAAGGGCTGTATACATAATCCTACGGACGGAAAAATTTAACGAAACATATTTAACGGAAATGTACAAAATGTGATCGGGTGGATCTACGGGCTACAGTCGGATATTCTGAATTTTAGCAAGAAGTGTAAACTTGTAATTCAAACGATAATATACAGAAAGGCCGATAATTCTTCTAGTCTGCATTTAATTGAGACATTTTGAAATTTAAAAAATAGAAAATGGAACCGGATAATTCACTTAATTGAATTTTATTGAGAAATTTTGAAATCTTAAAACTTGACAATGGATGCCAATCTGTTGTTAAGATATAGAAAGTATTTGATGTCTATAGAAATGATATATTTATGTTTGATGGTTATCATATCAGCAATACAAGCCATAGTTATAGATGTACCTGCTACAGGTAAATAGTTTTATATATAATATATAGATAGAAGTTAGATGTACCTGAAACGGGTAAACTGTTTTATAAATAATATATATAGATAATATAGGTACCTGCTATAGGTAAATTGTTTAAAATATTGTATAATACACATTTAGATATACCTGCTACAAGTCAATTGTTTACACGGTTAAATTTTAAACATAGGCACACATCGGTTTTTCGTCCCATCGGAAAGACTAGACACGCTCGTATTTTCATCCATTGTAAGTTTTCTTACCGGGCTCCCGTGTCGAAGCGGCGGCCCCTTTTAATGACCGCGGAGCCGGATGGGGGGTCCGGGGGCTCTCCCCCATGAAAATTTTGAAAAATGAACCCCAAATATCCGATTTGGTGGCATATCTGATAATAATCTCTGTCAACAAATAATATATCCCATAAATCGATTAATTTAGGCCAAAACCCCGACCTGCAAGTAATTTACAACCATCAACCTGTGAAATTATCATATCGTCATATTATTAATTAACGTATTATCATTGTATCGTCAAGACCAGCTATCATCAAATTTTGCCGAGGCCTTAAAATTGAATTTTTTTTGGGAGTTACGAACCATCGGCAGACGTTTCCGATGAAATTTTCGGATGAAATTCGGAATCACCATTGCAGGATTCCGAATTCCGGCCCACACCCAGCACACCCGGCCCAAGAAGTCTATTATACCAGCCCAATCCAGATTCCAGTGATGGCGTGGCGGCCCGTTAAAGCCACCGGCCACATACAACATGATCATCATCGCTCCATGGCCGGTCCAATCCCCCCCCCCCCCATATAATGTTCAGCAGAAAAGGGTGTTTTAGACGAATTGGACAAAATTATTTTTTTTCATTTTTTGTCCGACCGGCCCTTCGGGCGACCGCCCGATCGCCCGATGGCCCAATCCGCCCCTGTTTCGTCATAAGAGTCGTCAGTAGTGCCGCTGTCCAGACAAAATTTCCCTCATAGCACACAGTGTGGCTTATTCCCGTCTTAATTAGTCCAGCCGTTGCACAATCTGGTTAAAACACAGATCCTATTTCGTTTCGTTTTTATAGTTCAAAATTTCGTTTTACTTGTCTTTACTACACTTGGATCTGGAAGACTTTTTATTTATCTAGTGTTCTGCTTGAAATGAGGGGTCAGCCAATCAAATGGTCTGTCGAATCGAGTGTTTGACCTTTTTTGCCCGGAACTGTGGGTAATCTACTAGTAACATCAATGCTGATTGGTTAATCAAATGTCTGACGTCATAGGTCAAAAGTCGGTCTTTTGATCCCTGACGTGACCTATCGCTATAACTTGTCAGATCTTCATGTAGTGTAGGTCATCGAAAGTATAAAAAAAAACGAAACGAAATATAGATCTGTATTTTAATCAGATTGGCCGTTGCAGAAAGGTAGGACGTTAAACCCCATTTCATTTCATTTCGTTCTATTTTTTTATTAACCAAAAAGAGAGCCCATGTCAGAAAATTATCTACCGTAGATATTTTGATTTTATTTTCTTAATCAAATAATAAATAATCCATCCGAACCCATTTTAGCATGGATTAAGCAGTGATGCAATAGATATTGTCCAAAATCAAGAAAGGCAGCTTTAATTTTATACAAATATTAATAGTGCAGTCATGCACAATAAAATACAAAATTTTATCCATTCGTCCTACCAGGCTAATGAAATTTATAATTTAATTACAGGGGAGTTAAAGATGCATTATGTAAGATTTAGATAAGGAGTAGGCTGTTCAAAAATAGATAATGAAAAATGAATATATTGAAAATTTCAGTCAAGTCATTTAATTTGTGCGTGAAGTTTTGACAAAATGTAGCGTAGATGGTTTATTATCGTAGCAACTGTACTTGCCAATCGAAACTAAATCTCAGTAATCTATTTTATAAATAATTTTTAAATAGCGGTGGTGTTCTAATCTAATTCAAACCTGGGTCATCCAGAGAGTTCATAAGTGTTTAAAAAATAATTTAGATAACATTTGAAGTCTGAAAAAATTGTTTCCATAAGCAGGTAAATCTGCTCTAGAATTTTAAGAAATCTGAAGATGGCTGTACTGTTACGCAATTAACATGATTCAGGAACATGTCACTTAACACTTTATCAGATTATGACTCACAGATGGTCGACACTGGCACTGGTCTGACACGGCCAACGACCATTAGAAGTCATAAGTTACTACCCCTGGCCTGAGTTATGGTGCAATTTATGTATGTCCATAATCTCTTCCGTCATGATTTGTCTAGAAGTGGATTATAAGCAGGAATCAAACTGAGATTATTTAGTCAAGGCGAGAGCTTCTGAGTTCAGACCGGATAATGACGATGCAAGATAGTTAGGACCCAGGGGTGTTAGACCAAGCTAGGACCATGGCTCCCTCAACACAAGCTAATTACAAAGTCTTAAGTTTTGGAAATGATATACTGTTTGAAGAAGAATAAAAGTGTTACATGAAGTTAAACCAATGTCATCAAGAACCTGACTTAAAGAACCAATACTGTAACAGTACCTAATGACCTGAGTAAAGTATCTTTGTATATTTCAGCTGATAGTCTAAGGGGGAAGACAGTGTATACATTATTTACTGACAAGAGAACATGGAAGGAGGCAAGAGAAGTGTGTCGAAATCATGGTGGATATTTGATTAATATCGAAACAGAAGAAAAATATCAAAGATATCTGTCTTTGAAAACCAGTGGAACACCAAATTTTCGTACATAGTAAGTTTCTAAGTAATATTCGATTATAAAGTCAGTTCTATCTCTCTCAATCACAGAAAACGAAATTAAACTCAAAACAAGTATCTCGTAGAATGATTTATCCCGTCCAAATATTATCTCTCATAAAAATGTATCGCTTATTGCAAATTTTATATGGTAGCCTTTCTATTGGGAGTGAATTTAACCGCACAATACCTCGCACAGTTGGTTCTGGGTGTATCATCGGCGATAATACGTCGTTAAAAACCAACTGCACATGCAGAAGAGTGCATAAAAATGTTAGTGCCACAGTCTTTGACGTATTGAGTTAACAAGGTTTTAAACCCATTGTCGTTTGGTTATCAATGTCCCTTTTATTCGACATAGTTCCCCACATTCTACATAAGTCCATTCTATTCTACATAAGCCCCGCCCCCACATTCCACAGAAGCCCCACCTATTCTACACAATTCACTCCTATTGTTCGCAAGTCCCCCTATTCTACATAAGTCCCTCTTATTCTAATTAAGTCCTAACCATTCTACACAAGGGTTGGGTGTTATTCGGTGGCCAAATGGTTAACGCGTGCGCGTTGGATCATAAGGTCTGTCATTAAGTCAATTTGACGAGGTTTCGATTTCCCGCTTGTTTCAAACAAGATCTCTAAGCGATAGTGCATTATTGAAATAAAATTGAACTTGGCATATTGTGTCTTTTACCTCATATTGGTGATTGAATCATGTTATATTTAACCTCGTACCTCGGTTAATATGATACTGGCTCGATGTCAAGGATGGGTTCAATCCTCCTGTCCCGTGGGATTTTCCACGGTTTGTTTCCCCTAGTTACTTCAGTAACGATGTCTGATAGAGGCTACCCTCTCACCGTTACTGCCTTATACACATGTAATATGAAAATAACGCTTTACACCACCCGGTTCTAAGGCTGTTTTGGAATTCTCCCCGTCTATTTTTCACCTTGATTCTTCTTTGTTCACGAAGAAACGATGAGACGCTAGCCTCTATCAAACATGGTTACATGTTCCCTTTTGTTCCCGTCTTCGTTAGACCAGTCGGCGCAGAACAGTAGAACGGTAAACCCCCGTTTCATTTCATTTCCCCTTGTCAGTGGTGCATGATGGATGGTGTTGCAAGCGAAATACGTCTCGAAATACAAGCTACATGCGTATACGCGGTGGCGTGCACGTAAACGAACCCTTGACAGTTGATCAAAGCGCTGCTGATATGGCAACATTCCCTCATCATTGCCCACTGTATAACCTTCTTCACTGATCCTGGTGGTGTAAAAAATTAGGACTGGGAATTTTAACCTCATTTCATTTCATTTCACATTAAATGTCATATTTATTTACATGTACTCTCGAAGCCATGCGTCCATTAACGCGGATTAACAAATATAGAAAACATTGTTATTAATCATTATACATGGAACAGAAAACCAAGATTAGCCAATGATTGTATTTTAGGTGCACACTGAATTCTGGGAAACAAAACAGACGTGAAATTTATACAGCTTACGTTGTTTGGTCAAAGTTCACCTACATGACTTTGTATATAAAAGTATATATACTTTTAAAATGGAGTCTCTCCTCTACGGTCATAATCTTTAAACATTTTAGCTTTATAATTTTAGCATTATAATTTTATCAACTTGATTCGAAAGCAGAACCGTCTATGAAATGTGTTTTAATCATTACAGTATTGGGACTCCGTGGATCGGTTTATATTGGACATCATCGACTTCAAGACATTGGGATGGTCCGGGATGTCCACCTCCCGAGACGCATATGTCAGCATCGGATCACTGGAGGAATGGTAATGATTTCAGTTATACGTCTGGTAAAAGGTGCTATAGAGAGATAGGGAATGAGTTTGATAGCCAAGATTGTGACAATGAGAAGACATTTATTTGCGAGCATTACACAAGTAAGATAAAAAAAGATTTTTCATTTTTTAAAATCATATTATTATTATTATTAGCATCGTAACCAGGTCAAACCAATTGAACATTTCCAATATCACCGGAAATGACGTAATTTGGGCAAAAATTGTATTTATAGCCTTCGAAATCAGTAATTTATTCAAATGAGTCGTTTTCGTTATTTGCTTAAAACTTTGATATTTGTTTCAAATCATCTAATAGAATGAACCCATACGATCATATAGATATCACAAAATGGTTTCTTACTTGTTCAGTTGCGGAGAAATAGGCAATTTTCAACAGGTCACTTTTCAGGGGTTTTTTGTCCATAAAAGTGTCAATTATTATTCGATTTTCATGAAATTTCCACTGTGTGATACCTAATGCCATTTCCGATTTCCCACAAGTAATTTACGATTTTCATTATCACCGGAAGTAACGTCATTTTGGCAAAAACTGTACTTTTAGCCTTCAAAACAGATATTTTATTCAAATGAATCTGATTTGTAATGTTTTTAAAATTATGATATTTGATTCCAATCAACAAATAGAATGAACTCATACGATCATACAGATATCACAACTTGTACGGTTGCAGAGAAATAGACGATTTTCTACAAGTCACTTTTCAAGGTTTTTGGTCTATAAAGGTGGCAATTATTATTCGATTTACATACAATTTCACCATGTGATGATGCTATATCTGATTTCATCAACCAATTTAACATTTTCATTATCACCGGAAGTAATGTAATTTTGTCAGGATCACTGACATGTAACAAATGTATAAAATGAATTGATTGCTGGATTTGGTTGATTCTGCGTCCATTTTATTTCATGTGTGCAATGCTTATGTGGAAACCTGTTTAACGGTTTCATTGGTACCGGAAGTGACATAAGTTAAAGGGTAACGTGGCATCGGTGAAACCCGCCATTACTGCTTGGCAGTTCTAGTTTTCATTTTACATTTACTATTATCGAACTATTATAGCAAGAACTGTCACCTCTGTATCCAACTCCTACATACCGTATCTTTAAAGATGTATTATGTAAGATTTAGATAAAGAGCTGACTGAGAGTCTTCGCTATAATAGTTCAAAAATATATAATGTAAAGGGAATATGTTGAACATTTCAGTCTTTATTCTGAACCTTTGAAAAACAGAGTTATGGTCGTTTTAAGAACAGTGTAGTCTCGATTGTAATGGCTACCGTTGTTACGATAATAACCTAAGTCTTGATTATCCATTATGTTTTAAAATTATTAACTGGCAATATATTTTATATCCGTTTAAAATCAAAGCCATCCGATGTTTAGAGAGTTGATAATGAGCTTGGCATGTGAATAAATGTATATTTAATGATTTACATAACATTTGAAAAGAACTGCATTAGGCAGATTTATCTCTTGCCTAATGCATCTTTAACACACACTTGAACCCGAGGCCCTTATGACCGGCCTATCACCTCACAGGCAATAAAAGGGTAGTTAGCTATACCGCCCACCCTTACGAGTACATATGCTTCATTATTACCGATATCATCAATTCTGCTCTAACTGAAAATTTTGTCCCTGATGTATCTAACCATGCCATTGTTTTCCCTTTAATTAAAAAGCCTAGGCTTGACAGAAATCTTGAGTGAAACTACAGACCTGTGTCTAATTTAAGTTCTATATCGAAGTTTTAGAACGTTGTATTTTAAAACAGTTAGTGTCTCATATAAGTGATCATGATTTACTGGAAAAGTTCCAAACGCCGACAGAAAACTCATTTATTCAAACACGCCTTTTTACTGATTTTACACATTTGACTGTTTTATGTGTAGTTAAAAAAAAAATTATATCATTTTTACATTGTCTTTTTAGGTACTGTTTTTTTTTGTCATTTTTCATAACTTTTCTTTTTATCATAAATTGTTAAGCGCATCAGAACACTTCGGTGAAAGATGCGGTATATAAATGTATTAAATAATAATAATAATAAAACGCCAAAATCTGTAATTAATAATGGAGAAACAATCCCACAACAGTGAATTATTCCCAAACATCCAGTTTTCTACAGCTGACGCGACGTGTATCGTAATCTGTTTTATAGATATATCTGATTATACTCTCGGGGGAACCTCTCACACTGGTATAGCAAACCAGTTGTTCGGGGCTCACGACTGTCCCCTATTTGAAATCACCCTCATCCTTCTGAATCCAAGTACAATACAGTGTGGTGTTTTAAAGGCAACCCATCCTCTTAATTTCAGATGACACGTGTGGTTATGAAGAGTCGACGATGACAACATTTACAGTTAGCGGTCTTGGCAATGAGTCAACAATATTGAATGAGTGTAAATCTAGCTGTGATAATACACCTGGCTGTTTCCTGACGAGTAATCTACGCAACGTATGTTTGATGCTGCTAGCTACAGATGTCAGTAACTCAACAATTGCCATTAAAAAATGTTCATATGGTTTGTATTGTATTTATATCGTATGGACATACCTCAACAGTCTACATCTAGTTGTATTAGTTGTGGTTTAAAAGTCGAGAGCCAGACATTAAGTAATACATTGATACTGATCGAGGACGTTGGTCCGAGTGTTGTATCAATATATTACGCAATGGGTTGCTCAAGACACTAAAAATACAGACGTGTAGATCAGTGAAATCGTCACGCGAATCCAATATTTCATATAGTTTAAATATTAGCATTGACATATGTTACCCGTATATTATCTAGAACTAGCAGAATACCCGGCTTGGCCGGGGCACAAATTGAGGTGCCCATTTCGCCAGTGGGACCAAATTCGACGGGGGAGGGGGCAAATTCGATGGCTTAAAACATTCACAGGGTGATGCTGGTTAATGTGATACCACATATCTGGGGTGAATCTGGGCGACGAAGCGTGATGGGCTCACACATACAGACATCTTTGACTTGATTTATATAGATACTAGTGATGTCATCAAAATAAAGAAGTTCTGTTTGTATTGGTTCTGTTTATTATTAAATATTTTTATCATCAATATCATAATCGGTTGTTCGTTTATTATAGAGACTGCAAAGGTCACTGGGTCACAAAATGTACCCAGTGATGATACTGATCCTACAGATTGTGCTACAACAACATCGAGTTTAGGTAAGCGATGTACATCAACCAAAACAGTAGTTTGTTCATTGTAGAGATGTTTTTTGTAGAGACACAAGATGTATAGCGCGACATACGATGTATATCACATAGACTATAATATACAGTGAAATATATTATGTATATTGGATAGACTGTGATAGACAGTTACGTAGGACATATAATGTATATCGGATAGACTGTGATAGACAGTAGGGCATATAATGTATATCAGATAGACTGTGATAGACAGTAGGACATATAATGTATATCGGATAGACTGTGATAGACAGTAGGACAGCATAAAAATGAAATGAAATGGGGTTTAACGTCCTACTGTTCTGCTCCTATACTGGGCTAATGAAGACGGGCATACGCCATACAGTGTGCTATGAGGGAAATTTTGCCCGGGCAGCGGCACTATCGCCTACTCTTATATCGAATTCCAACTACCAAGGGATATTTTACGTGCATTCCAATGTATACACGGGACCTCGGTTTTTCGTCTCATCCGAAGGACTAGACAGCTGCCCTTGTCAGGACCTCCGTTCTGCACCACTGACAAGGGGAAGCCACGTCGGAAAATCGGGATGAACTTTCTCGGCCAATGCAGGGATCGAACACCCGACCTCCAGGCTAGCGAGCCAGCGTCTTAACCAACTAGCCACCGGGACAGCATAGACTATAATATACAATGAGACATATTATGTATATCGCATAGACTATAATATACAATGAGACATATGATGTATATCACATAGACTGTGATAGACATAATATATATCACATAAACTATAATATACATATTAGACATATTGAATAGACTGTGATATATAGTGGGACATGTGATGTAGTTATACTATAGAACCTGTGCGACTAATTTACATAAAATATAGGCAGGCAATTCAAAGGTAAGGTATGACTACATAATTTACATAAACCGGGGGTTGGTGGGGGGGGGCAGATAATTCAAAGGCAAAGTAAGACTATTTAATTTGCCAGGGCTATATAGTTCAAAAGTAAGATAACTTTGCAAAGGTGCAAAATATGATCCGTTCAATTAAATCAATGTTTCTACGAAGATAGCAGTGAGTCCACTGGGCATTGTTGAGTTGTTTGGAGGTCCCGTGTAAAAGTTGATGTGCATGTAACAGAACAGTTGACAATTTCATTCGAATGACACACTTGTTTGGCGTATGGAACAGAAAAGAGGGACGTTAAACCCAAATTCATTTCTGCACAGGCTTATCTGATATAAATTCTATATTTCAGTGTCATCTATGATAACATATCCAGCGGTCACGGGTATCATTACAGAAACGTCAACGACTACGTTATTGATCACGATAACATCTGCAGGGACGTCCAATTGCATAGTAACGGACTCTTCGAGAATAGAAGCTTTAACAACTCCCGAACTGACGACAGAAAACATCACAACAGGGGTTCCTACTGCGTCCGTAGTATCAAACATTATACCTGAAACGACTACGTCATCGATCATGATAACACCTACAGAAACCATTGCAGCTGGGGTTCCTCACGTTACCCAAATAGTGGGAAACATTATTACAACGGTAGTACAGATTAGTACTGTGACAATTGGTGGCCCCTCATTGGTCGTTTCCACGGTAACAGAAACACAGACCCAATCTTGTGAAACTGTAACCGTTGACGTCGCTGGATCGTCTTCGTCAACAGATATGTACTCTCCAGGGATGGCCCCAGCTATCGACACAACCATACAGTCATCATTTGATTCTCTTCAAGTTAATGAGACAATTTCTTCAAGTCCAAATGGGATTAAAGGCACTATTGGTTCCGACGGGATTATGAGAACATTGATGTGTCGTGACGTCATCGTTGTGACCCCTGACCCCGTCGCAGAGCAAGCGGCAGTAAAAAGTATCGTGAACAAGTTAACGGTTGACAAGAAAAACATATCTGCTGTCGTTCAGAAAAAAGTAAGCGCACAAGATAAACGGTCCAGTTCTGTTGCTATTGGTTACATGGGAATAGGTTTTCTGATAATCCCGTTTCTTTTAATCTTTGCTGTAGATTTACCGACATGCCTTCAGGGCGGAAGGGACGTCATCAAATTATGTAAGGATGAGGATATATTTTAATCTGTAGATGTCAGATATAATACAGAGAATATAACTATCAACATTTTGTGTGGACGACTCCTGAAACACTTTATTCAAGTCGCAAGGAACTATCTGAAGATATGTAAAGTACTTTTCCAGCTGTCCCCTGACGTTAGATTATGGAAGACCAAACAGCTCTATATATATAGTGTTCGTAATTCTTAGTTTTTGATTCTCAGTTCAATATTTTGTGTTGACGACTTCTGGGACACTATTAGTCACAAGGAACTATCTGAAAATCTGTGATGTGGTTTCCGGGTATCCCCTGGCGTTAGATACGAACTTCTTGATTAGCAATCACTTTGCGCCTGGATAATGTGTCTACAACTGAGACGGTTGTGTGAAATCTTCGCGTTTAACTTTCATTTATTGACGAACGTTTAAAACCGAAACCACGTCACGTGATATAAAGCGTTAAACCATTCGGCGACCTAAACCCTTACAGGGGCTAAGTGAAAGGGACGCAATTACGAATTTGCATCATGATTTTGAGTTTTTGCTCCCCCTTGAGTTTTTGCGCCTCCTCGCAAATGGCAAAACACCACACAATTTCAATGCGAGTTTCAACATTATAAAACGCATTTTATCAGAATGTTTATTCATTAGTCCCAAATATTTGTTAAATAAATCTATTCTAACATCATATCATATTTAATTCATTCATTTCATAGCTATCTTCTGATTTATCATCTGCAACACTTATTTTTCTCACACTCTGTTGGCTGATTATCATCTAAGTAAATATAATAACTCATTGTGTCGTGTTTCTTTGTTATCTATTGTTTCCACATGCAGGAACGTAATTAAGCCACATTTGTGATCTGCTGATTAATTATCTGTAAACAAAATTTCCAATTCTTAGCATAAGTTAAGAGAATTTGGGGACTTGCAGCCCAACAAGGAAAAGCATCTAGTCAGTTTCAGTTTAAGCTTACTTAACCTATTTTTGGGAGGTGCTCGACAGGGCCCCCATTTCCGTAGGTGCCCCCCCCCCTCCCACTGCCTTGCTTCTTAATCCGGCACCGACAGTAAGTATAATGTATATCGCATTAGAAGTGTGTATCAACTTCTCTGAAAATAACTCGTAATTCTTACAATTCACTTGTGACCCCTCCCCCCACCCCATTGAAGTGACCGGAGTCCCTTTGAAACAGTTTTTGGAAAGCGGGCAAAGAGTTAACAGATATCGAGTGGCTAATTGACGGCGTTTCAGACTCTTACGATGATTACGTCTCATATTTAAAGAGTAAATTTGACAATTACAGCACCAAATGTCAGTATTTCACATTGTCTGAGCAAAAATCCTAGTTTATATTTTTATCTAACTTCGTCAATCTTCACTGCTCAGTCTCTCAAAACTAAAGCTGATGAGCGTGGGCCTTACGTGATACACCAAATTCTGGATGGGCCCACTATATTCTTGTCAAATTGGATGGTCATGTACTTCCAGATATTGTCTCCATCAAATTCCTCAAACATTTTTTGGTCCGTGCTCCAAATCTCAATGAACGTATAACAGTAGAATTGCAGCAGAAATTAGGTAAATCTTCTTCACATACTGTGAATGCTGTGACTTGTGAAAATGCCCTAGAATGCACAGATGAACTGAACAATGTTTTATCTAGGTCCGATAGTTACCATATCTGTAATAGAGTTACAATTCCTGTAGATACTTCACTGTGCCTTAGTCACGGTGCTGAAAATCATCATTTAGCCTCTGCTAATGTTTTGTCCTCGTCACAGATAGAAAAATGAAATGAAATGAAATGGGGTTTAACGTCCTACTGTTCTGCTCCAATACTGGGCTAATGAAGACGGGCATACGCCATACAGTGTGCTATGAGGGAATTTTGCCCGGGCAGCGGCACTATCGCCTACTCTTATATCGATTTCCAACTGCCAAGGGATCTTTTACGTACATTCCAATGTATACACGGGACCTCGGTTTTTCGTCTCATCCGAAGGACTAGACAGCTGTCCCTGTCAGGCCCTCCGTCCTGCATCACTGACAAGGGGGAACCACGCCGGAAAATCTGGATGAACTTTCTCGGCCAATGCAGGGATCGAACACCCGACCTCCAGGCTAGCCAGCCAGCGTCTTACCCCCGTCACAGATAGAGCAGCAGTGCAATCCGCTATCTCGTTGATCATATGGGCTTTATTGGGAATTGGGATACAAAATGCCCAGTTCAACTCCTTTCAGTATTTTTATCAGATGATTGTGACCTGTTGGGCTCCTGGTATCATTAATCTTATCGTACAGGTCACGAAACGTCATGAATTTATCATTGGGGAAATAATTAAAAGTCTGAATCCGTTTTCGATAAAAAGAGTTCAATCCCTTTTATAATAATCTGTATTCAACCGGAAATAACGAAATTGAGAATCAACTGACGCAAGTGCAATAGATTCAAAGTTTGCATTACTTACTTGCGGGGGAAGGGTACCTTCGTATTTCTTTTTAAAATCTTCATTGAAACTTATAATATTCATTCTTTAAATGACATTTAGAAGAACGGTTTAACTATTCATAACAAAACACAACATAAGGTATATATGGATATAACTACTTCTTTATTATTTAATAACCACGTTTCGTAACACATACAGGTCACGTTTTCAAGTTAGTGATAAATATCCATCTAGTCAGCCTATTTATACAAATTTGAGCATACACCAAATTAATTAATAATCAGACGAAACCATTAAAATAATTAGAAGCACCTACAATAACAATAACTAATCCAAACAATAATAATGACTGACCCTTTAGTGGGATAATAACAGATAATCAGTGCTAAAGATCACTGGCTATAGGACAGCATCCTGCAACTGAAAGAACTATTCCTAACACAGATTCATGCTGACATGGTCTCCACTTATGAGGACGATGTCCCTTCCCTTTCAGCAGTAAAGAGGTGGGCTGCCTTGACGATGACCCGCGACCGGAGGGTGTGGGGGTCACCAACAGCAACCATTCAAGAAAACATTACCGGGGTGCATGACATGGTGATGGCTGATCGACCATTGACCACTCTCTTATGAAATTATGTTGAGCACATTATGGTCAACGAGTTAGGAATGACAAAAGTTGCCGCTGATTATCTAACAGTGTCAATGGAAAAAAGAATAGTGGTCTACTCCCTAATCTTAATAATCTTAAATTGGATTACCTCCCATTGTTCAGTGTTACAGATGTCATGTAGTACATGTTTATAATTATTTTCTCTATTATAATTATAATGAATGGTCAGTTCATTATTGTTACTAAAGTCGTGTCGTTGATTAGTCTGCTAGTATCATTGCAAAATTTCGAGACTTGTTAATCAAGACGGGCGCGTACTTGTACCCACGTGATTTGTGGTATGGCAACCAGCGACATGGTGGAGTTTTGTTCTGACTTTACTTGTGTTAATTCTTTATTGGGTAGTTAGGCCTATATATAAGTTCGGATTATAGTAATGATGGGTTCCCACTGTCGTGCGATGTGATACGATAGGATGGTCCCTACTGAGTCCACGATCTGGTACGTGAAGATTAGAAATGGTTCCTCTACTGACATCTTCCGTCTTGCACCAGCCACAGTAGTGGGTCGTTCTAAGGCCTTCCTTTGTGAAAGTTATTTTTAGTTATTTGAGTACAAAGAAGTTACTAGCCAAACACCCTTAAAATTCCAATTAAACCGCATAATTATATGATTTGATGAAACCCAACAGCTACGCGAAATTTCTGTCCATTTTAAAATGGCCGCCGAACCAGACTTAAAACACGCACGTGATTTCACGTCATCTGGAAAATGACTCTTCACTATTTGTAACAGAAACGCGATAGTAAGAACCTATAGAGTAGAAGATTCCAGTATCATCGCAGGTTCCAGAATAGCCCGATCCACGTGACATCTGAATATGTGAGGAGGAACATTTGTGTTATTAAAGCTGAACTCCGATAACAAAACTACAGAAACAATTAAATAACGCCCAAAACAACGGCCTACTTGTTTTCTATTTCTAGAACTAACATGGCGATCGCTTTGGGCGGATAAATACACAGACAGTCTACGCCCACTTCCAGTGTATACCGTGTCAAGCGAAGTGTCCATATCCGGTTAACTAGTCAACTCCCAATTACCTCCTGACTGATTGATCTTTTTCCACTATCAGCTCACAGAACAAATTATTGCTACACAGTTATAATGTCTGATCAGGTACATATTATTTTACTAATTAGACGAAATAAGTCAACCACGGCGTACTTTTGCTCTAAAAATAACAGAAAATCTGCCTTACCCCAAACAATAACAAATCTACCAGCACCAACCAATTGTTTCTTATTTCGTGAAATGTTTTGCACAACAGAGTAGAAACGCCAAATAATTTTCTGCGTCATAAATTCTAGTATTATAAATCGTTCAAAAATATATTCAAAGCAGCAATAAAACTGTAGTCCTCTCCATCAAATAAGTATGTTTTCACTTTCAATTGTTGTCATAATGGCGATCAAGGGACATATCTTATATTTTTCTAGACATTACAATAAAGGGACACTACTAATCCTTTATCGGAGGATTCGATCGGTGAGGATTTTTTTTTATTTTTGCATAATTAAAGCAACAACAAAACTGTTGTTCCCTCCATCAGATAGGTATGTTTTCAAAATTCCATGTTGTTGGCATAACTACTGTTTTACGGACGGATCTAAAAATTAGGGGGAGATTTGATGTGATATTTTTCTGGGCATTACAATAAAGGGAGATCGTGGTTGAATTATTTCGTCTAATTAGTAAAATAATATGTACCTGATCAGACATAATAATTGTGTAGCAATAATATATTCTGTAAGCTTTTGTAATCGGAGTTCAGCTTTAACTGATTCTTTAATATATAGTCTGTTACGTATGCTTTTGTATGATTATCTTGTGCTACCGGGGGTTAGATGGCCGAATGGTTAGCGCGTACGCGTTGTATCATAAGGTCTGTCATGTAGTCAACTGGCGTGGTTGCGATGGGCTCGCCTGTCTATCCTCGTGGGTTATCTCCGGGTCCTCCGGTTTTCTCACACTGCTAAAGACCCCTACTCGCAAGCGAATTATTGAAATAACGAAATTACCTGGTTTGTGTCGAGTGGACGTTAAACAACTCTCTATCACTCTCTCTCTCTCTCTCTCTCTCCCTCTCTGTCTCTCTTTCTCTCGCTCTCTCTCTGTCTGTCTCTGATTAAAATGAGTCTCTCGCTTGTGCTACCATGTGTGTGATTGTTGTTGTACAGTACACTGTAATAAATCATGTTATAAATTGTACGTTTACGTTTTCTATAATTTCTGCTGACTGGGCGTATTGCATAAAAGTTTCCATCGTTTGGATGTTTTGGACACAGATGGACAAACATGTTGCAGCGTCTTACTCAAAGGAATGTATGAGATTCACCATGTATATCTTGAGATATATAAACCGGAAGTGGCATACCAGTAAATGTGTAACTATCCGCCCTACATTTCAACGTCACCTACGTCTTAACTATTTGTTCGCATTGAATTCATGAATATTCACCAAAACCTAACAACAGAAAGTCAACAAACTTCGCAATATAAAGGGAGAATGTTTTGG